GAGAAGCAGAGAAGACATTCATTCTATGGCACAAGCGCTACATCATCATTCCCGGGATGTCGCCTCCACCTCCTCCTGAACTACCTCACCATAGGTGCGGATGAAAACACTACATCATTAATTTATATTGGCTTAAATAATTAACAATCTGCTCATAATAATATGTCATTCCTTTTTTTGTAGCAGATCCTCCCCCAACCTAAATCCAATTGTTCAATCGCTAGATCATCATAGTGCTCAGTACGATGACAATGTGTTGGAAGGCGAGGCTGCATCCACACCATCTCCAAGGAGGTCTCCAATGCCGTAGCCGCCACCTCCAAGGAGGTCTCCAACGCCACGCCACCACCACCTCCAAGGAGGTCTCCAACACCTCCCCCGCCCCCGCCTACCAAGAAGCCAAGTACTAGCAAGAGGCCAGCCCATAAGCGAAGAAACAATCCCCGCCGGCAAAGAAAGCCACCGTGAAACCAAGGGCTATTCCCAAAATAATATCTGAAGAGAAGGAAGAAGTAACTGATGCATATAAAAAAGACATGTCTAGATTTTATGACAAACTTAAAAAGGATCAAGAAGCAAGGAGAAACCCCGAAGAAACCATACTTCTTCGTAGCTCCAGATATTCTAAGAAAAAAGGTGGCTTCTTACCAGCAACAACAGCGGAAATCTCGTAAGCCGTCCAAATCAACGTTAACGGACTATGACCACACTCTCACCAAGTCAATTGAGGCGGCACAGAAAAAGAAGCGGGCAGGGAAAGGAGTTGCACAACTCGGACAACAATCGCACCAATCAGTCTCCCTGCTAGTTGTTGGTAATGAATATGGTTCAAATTTAGGATTAATGCATCAGGCAAACATACCTCCGGATATCGATTTAGATCACCTTGGTGAATTTATTGAAGAGACTGGTCTCGACCTTTACCAGATGTTTGGTGATGGAAACATTGAGAGTGTGATGGAGGTTGATATTTGAAAGAAAAAATTTGTACTAGGCCAGAGTCTATACAACCCTCAAGCCTTATGTGATCTAGGGACGCAAATGTACCTGCTAAACAAGTGGTACATGCAGGCGTCTACCGGTGGAGACTTCTGCGTTGGTGTCAGAATTAGAGACGAACATTGGTTCCGTGGCGATGATATTATGTATGTTGACTCTGCAGAATTTCATCAACTATGCCACCTGACCTCTCTGGACAAAGTTATCATTAGCTGCTATTGCCTATAAGTAATAATTCTTTTGATCTATTATTAAACTCATCATATGTGTGTATATGCATATAAATTATCCTAACAAGTACTATATATATGCAGATTTACAATGACAAACCATAGAAAGGAAGGCTGCAATGAAATTGGTTTTGTTGATCCCTATATAGTATTCAAAGACCCAGTTACTCCAAAGCCTAATTGGAAGTCTGAGTCAGAGAGTAACCTCATGAACTTCTTAGTGAACCAACGCCACAAGAAGGATATACTCTTTCCCTACAACTTTAAGTGAGTGTTAATAATGTCGATTATTCTTAATGGCTCATATGTTGATTCTAGTTAATTAATGAGTGTTATGCGTTATATCCTATAAACACATGCAGCAAGCACTGGATATTGATGGACATCGATCTGGTGAAAAGTCACTTGATAATCTATGACTCGATGAGAAAACCACAACAAGACTACCAAGATATGATAGATATTATCCAGAGGTAATTTTGGTATATTTAGCAACTATATATACACACAAATATGATGATTAACTATATCTGATGACGTGGCAAATTTTTTATTGGGCAGTGTTTGGAAAACCTTTATTGAGAAGCAACACATGGGAAAATACAAAGCGCCACTGAATGTAATCCCTCTGAAAGTAAGTCCCCTAAATCGCATCATCTTTATTAATTAAACATATAACTTTCACCGGATCACCAGATTGGATGACAAATCTTTTTCTCGTAAAGTGGTGTCTGAGGCAGGAACAGGGGAACAACTACTGTGGTTACTATGTTTGCAAGTTTATCAAGGAGGTCTCCCAAAGAACTCCTAAAGAGAGACTCAAAGTACGTTAAAAATACACTATATATTCATTTAATTATTATTATTGATTGTGTTACTATGTCTTTATATATATATATGTATGTACATATATTAATTTATTTTCCTTTAATTCAAACCTGTAGGCTCGATGGTTGGAGGAAAAGGTCATACGACAAGACCAAATCAAAATAATTCAAGAGTTTATAGCCGGATTTTTTAATGACTAGGTCATCGATTCCAAGAGCGAGTTCTACTTCGACCCAACACTGCCATGGAAGCCAAGCTAGAGGATGAGAGGAAACTTGTTATATCACAACAACTGTAATGCAATCTTTTATAATATATGCACATAAAATAATATAATGTAAAATACACATATGCATGCATGCATGTAATATATATATGATGCATGCATGCATATATATATATATATATATATATATATATATATATATATATATATATATATATATATTTCTATGCTTGAATTATGTGATTTAATATGTTCATTGTGCTTGAACCGAAACATACTATACACGCGTATAAATGTATTATTAGCAGCGTACAATACGACTTCGAAAACCTATTTTGAAAAGAAAACAAAAAAATGAAAAGAAAAAAAAAAAAAAAAAAAACCTTTAGTCCCGGTTCGTATTACCAACCGGGAATAAAAGGGTGCCGGTGTTGTGGCATGTCAGGAGGCACCTTTAGTCCCGGTTGGTGTTACCCACCGGGACTAAAGGTCCCCCTTTAGTTCCGGTTCCTGACCCGGGACTAAAGGACCCCTTCCCTTTAGTCCCGGATGCTTGCTCCCGGGTGGGGAACCGGGACAAGATGGGGTTCTCCACCGGAGTAAATGCCGTTTCTGTACCAGTGTTAGGGACCCCGGGTCTATAAACCCGACATAATCCCTTCAATTAATAAAACCTCAAGTCTTGTTTGATGATACCAACATGAAAGCTAAGGGTCTCCAACGTAACTAAATTTAACCATATTGATCCCAACATGATATGTTATAAATAATAAATTAAACTCGTGATAGATGTAAATAAAATATGTTTCAAGATAAAATCAAAATGTTCATGATGTTATCCATGAGCAAAGTTTAAAAGTTTTGCCACATATAGTATTCCAGTCATGGTATAAACTCTTTATAACGTATCATGCATATTTAGAAAATTAGTTCGACAGTGAGAGCACAATACTGTACACATTTCAATTAATGCTTCCTATCTACTCCTTATATCACTTCTCTTATTTTGATAAGCACCAAAAAGTATTCAATCAACGTATGGATTAATCAATCAATGTGATCAAATTCTGAAACAAACCTCGAAATTGGAAACAGTTCTCAGTGAAAAATATAACAAAAATAATGACAGGCAGCATAATATAACCCTGCCTATATGACTGGATATGAAGATTATTTCTTCATTATTATTGTATTCTTGTGTCTTCCCATATGACAAAATGTAACTTATAGGTATAGTTGGGTAGTTTATGCGTACGCTGTTTTGTATGACTTCAATAGTACTTTTTTAGTCATGGTACATGTCAAATTAAAATGGAAGAAAAATTAAAATTAGTTATGTAAATATTAAGCTTGCAGCTAGAAGAACTCCCACATGTATATACCACCGGATACCCCAGTTAAATAAACATCTAAATGCTGTAAGCAAAAAATGAACTTATGTGTTAGAACAACTCTTTCCTTCATATAACAATGTTTAAAAGTCATACCTACTGTATTGATGACTAAAACATAATTTTTGTTCATTTTTATTCGGTTTCTATAATGCGAAGGTGAAAATATATCAGAAGTCTCTGTCGTAAAATAGTTGTCCCCTGATGCAATAACTGTAGGTGCACAAATGATCTCAATTGATGGAGTAAGCCAATAGCAAGCAAAAACATGCTAGATCGATCTCCAAGGGAATGAAACCTAGCGAAAAGGAAGTATGACCATGTACATTTTCCTATGCTTCATGTGCCACGAGAACATCAAATAGCAGAGCTATAGCCCCACGATGGGACGAGACTATTCAGAAAGCCATGGGAAAAGATCGATCGTAAAACAAAGGACAGAAATTGACACATGCATCCTGTACTCGCAGGAATGCACATCCAAGAGCATCAATAGTGAGTAGTACGAGTACATGCTTGTCCGATCCCCCTATTATTTGGTGCGTGCGCACTGTGCAACGCTCTCGCCCCTGTCTATCGCCGTGCAGGCAGCCTTATAGATTGAAAAAAATTTCAAACCGATGAATAGTAGCACTTTCGTCTTATTTGGTAAATATTGTTTAATCGCCACCATCTCGTGATTTCCAACTGGCCTATTTAATGCTCTGTAAACGAAAATCTCTAGAGAGAGAATGAAAAAACTTGGAATTTTGAGGGTATCTAAACAAAGCCCAATAGCATTGCATATACCAGTGCATCCTGGTACCATAAAAAGGAAACGAAACAGGAAGCAAAACAAGAAAACACAAGAGATGCTTGCCAGAATCGAATTGACACATGCATGCGTAGAGATGGACACACACACACAGACTTTTAAATTTTCCACAAACAGAAACAGCAGGAGAGATGACCATATATGTATCTCCCTGTCCCTAGCTAGACCTCAAAGGACGGACATACTCCTCAGTTGAAAGTACAGCAAACACTTGCTTACTTCTACAAGCAAATACTAGATTCGACAAACACCAAAGCTAAGTGAATCGAAACACACACACAAGCAATGCAGTACACGCAGCAGCTAGCAGCAGTGCAGCACACACCCTAGTGGTGCTTCTCACGGTAGAGTACACGGATCAGCAGCATATAGGGCTAGCTACTGCATGCACATGCATGCATGCATACGCGCGCGAGATGATACATAAAATATATATGCTCGAGCTCAATCTGGCATCATACAGGCCAAATGGGAGAGCGTACGTACGTACGAGCCGTCGACGATCGATCAGCTCAGCAGGCGGCGCCGGCGGGCGGTGGGGGCGGCGGCGGCTGGTGCGTGTGGCCGTGAAGGCCGCCGCTGCTGTCGCCCGGCAGCTGCTGCGGCTTCTTGCGCTTCTTCTTCTCGTAGCTGACGCCGCGGGCGCGGGCCTGGTGCTCGCGGACCTCGCGGAGGTAAAGGCGCACGGCGCGCGCGGCGAAGGGGTTGGACTCTGGGCGGCCTCCGTTCTCCTCGAAGGCAGCGCGGAGGCGGCCCACGAGGGCGTCGAGGCTGCCCCAGGCCTGGCGGAGCGGGCAGGGGCACGGCGCCGGCGGGTTCGGGTGGCCGAAGAAGGGGCACGCCGGGCCGTGCACCTTAGTCTTGCCGAACTGGTCCAGGTAGCGGAGGAACTCGAGGACGTGAGCCCCGCTGCACTGCGCCAGGCTCAGTGGCGGCCGGTGGTTCCGCAGGTACTGCCCGAACGTGTTCCAGTCGCGCCGCTTCTGCGCCTCGTACCGGCTCGGCGACTGCGGCGTCATGGAACCAACGGACGGCGACGCGCCTCCGCTGCTCGGCCCGATGCCGTTGCCCCCTCCTGACGAGGGGCTGTCGGGGTTCGGCGACATGTCCATGGTGGATCGGCTAGATAAGAAGAAGAAAGAAACAGAGAGAGAGAGCAGTGTAGCTGCTGTGAGCTGAAACAATTTCCTCTTTATATTATTTAAATCGAGTAGGCTCCCTCTCCTCTGTGTGTTCTAATGTTCTTTACTCAATGAAGAAATGAATATTTAATTTGCATATCCATATAATATCATATCATATACTATACTGGTAAAGGAATACTCCATATTCTCGTAAGCATGATGAGCTCAATGATGACTCGTGTGAGCATTATTTTAGCACAAGTTGGGATTGGAGGGATCTGTTTGTTTGGGAGTTGGTGCTCAGAAGTCTGAGATGACCACAGCAGATACATGTCTCTGTGTATGTGAAAATCTTCTTCGAAAAAGATCAAAGAAAGGAACAAGTTACCTTGGGTGTAGTTGGCAGCTGAGCTTGGTTCTCAGAATTGTGGGAGTTGGAGCCTGGCTTCTTTAGCCTGTGCATCAGATCCAGCAGCATGGAGCATAATCAGAGAAGCAAATGATCACAAAAGCAGAAGGATAGGGTTAAAGATTAAGCATTGGAATAGTCGGGAGTATAGCTGCTGGTTGATCTCATCTGTTGCTTCTTACTCTTTCGCAGTGGTGGTGATGCTGGTAACAGTTGCTGATGCTGGCTCACTCATAAGTCCATCATCTTGTGATTGGGGATCTGCAGGGAGAGCACCAGCTTCATGATCTGTTTGAGGGCGTGGGGAATTGCATGCTGCTGCTTCTATTTTTAGGGGGGGGCGCAGGGGCTGGTGGGGGTGGTGTTTGGCCTAAAAAGGAGAGATGTGAAGTGACTGAGACATGGAATCAACAGTGGTGAGCAGTGTATACTCAGCTACTAGGGCTTTTCTAGTGAAGGGTGGGGGTAAAAAGGACGCGGGGGGGTGTGGGATTTGAAAGGTGACGTGACAAAAAAGTATTATTTTCAAGTGTGATATAGGGTGTGTACGGCTTGATATGAGTTGTTGGCAGGCTCCGTTGGCCAGGATCCGCTATACTTTCTTAGTCACGGAACTGTATTTTCCTTTCACGGTAAATCAGACTTATAAATCAATCGTCGTAGAAGTAATAAATCCTATCGAACAGAGTTCAGTACGCCAGAGTTGATGCGGTGAACTGGTGATTAGCGGCCCCTACCGATATCTTTCCACAGGTGTGATATGCATGGTGATCTAATGTAATTAGTGGCAACTTGGTCTGCATTTCATGGAGGGCGGTGGTTTAAGGGCGCAATTTGAAAAACCGAACTTATAAAGTTCAAAGTACTATAGGGGTAATGGTTTTACCAATTGTAGCCAATATGGCCTTCTAAGCCAACTTTTGTGAGTTTTGGTTGTTAAAGTGACAATATAGTCATTAGACACTACGCCAGAACACACAATCACTGTCAGAGCATTGCTGTCGGTAGTGACTACCATTAGTAGAGAACATACATTTTTTGTTTTAGTCCCAGCCGAAATTTGGCCCGGGAGTAATAGGAGATTTAGTCCTAGTTGAAACCACCAACCGAGACTAAAATCCCATGCCCAACGGATAGTGCAGCAGACTTTTGCAGTAGGGACCTTTAGTCCCGGTATGTGGTTCAAACCGGGACTAAAGATTGCCTTTCAATTCCGATTGGAACCACCAATCGGGACTAAAGGTCCCGCTGACCTTTTATCCCGGGTTTTGGCTCCAACCGGGACTATAGGTTGATCATTTAGTCCCGGTAGGCTTCCACCAACCGAGACTAAAGATCCCCAGCTATATACCCGTTTTCACTGTCTCCCCAAACCTGAGACACACCGGTCAAATCTTGGTCTTTGCTTATTGTTCATCCGTGTTTATCCGTGTTCTTGCTTGGGGGAGCAAGTTCTTGTTCTCGGCCGCCGGTTTCATCTTCAATCTTCTAAAGGTTAGCAACTTCTTCTTCTAATCTTTCATTGCTAATAATGAAGATTGTTTCATGCTTTAGTATAAGCATATAAATATTCAAATATGTGTTTTTTAATTAGGAATAATAATAGTGGATTTTATTTTTATTTATACATCATTTCTACATAACCTTAAACATTTATTGTTTTCTAGATCTTTGTTAGCAACATTATTTCTTAATAATCGTTAAACAAAATTATGTGCAAAATGTTTAACTTAGCATAATATATATATATATATATATATATATATATATATATATATATATATATATATATATATATATATATATATATATATATATATATATATATATATATATATATATATATATATGGGATATTGGGAGCCCCAGGCTCCAAATAGCTAATGGAGAGCCCTAGCCAGCCCAACCATTCAGGTCCGCGGTGCTGACTCACATGCACAGGTGGCGGACCGCTGCAGACAGCAGATCGGATGCATAAAATCACAGGTCAAGCTGCGCAGAAAGGGCTTTATCACGCGTTGCATAGAAATTAGTCATTTGATCAATTAAAATTAATTTGTTACCGCATAGAAACCTCTCCACGATCTAGGACGTTCCGGCTAACACAACCTGACAAAGCTGACGCATGCATGCATGCACGCATCCAATCTAATCACTTTCATTTTTTCATTTTAATTTCTCAACGAAACATCCGATTCAAAAATAGTTTTCACCATTGAACTCCTAACATTTTTTGCACGATTCAAGATCCATTGTGAATAATTTTTTTAAAATTTAAAATTCATAAATTTGCACCTTAAGATATAGAGTTTCATGCTTTCGTCTAAGCATAGAATCTTGTGAGCAAGCGAATAGAAACATGAAGACGATCTCGCTTTTTCAAAATTTGAAATTTGAATCAGGACACGTGATGACTGATTGGATGCATAGAATCAATGGTCAAGATACGCGGAAACATTTTTTTGCGCCGACGTTGCATAGAAATTAGTAGTTGAATGAATAAAAGTTAATTATGTTACCGCATAAAAAAACTCTCCGCGAGATGGACATTCCACCTGACACAATCGTGATTGCCTCCATGAACTTTATGCTTCCCACTATGGGGGTGTATAATTAACATGGAAACAATGCATATAACCCTGACAAAACTCTCATCCTATGGGTATTATTGTTTTGAAAACCATGACTTGCACCCACCCACACCATTCTTTTCCACTGGAGGGTGTATAACTAACATAGGATCAATGCATAGAATCCTCACAACCCCCCCCCACCTCTAGGTATTTTTGTTTCAAAAATACTGACTGCACCAACCCACACGAATGCTTCCTTCTGGGGTGTTCAATTAATAGAGGAACAATCAATTAATAGAGGAACAATGTATAGAAACCTGCAGAACCCTTCCCATGTGATGGGGCAATTATAACAAACATTGTAACAGCCCCAACCCACACCATGCTTTCCACTGCAAGATGTTTATTTAATAGAGGAACAATGCATAGAAACACACAAAAACCCAATAGTTTTGCTCACAACATGGTGTGGACTATCCATAATGGTCCCAACTCACAACATGCATAGAAACTCAGTTAACCAAATTATTGAAACCCAACTGAGCTTACATAAAAACCAATAGTTTTGCTCATGTCATCCAAGCATATAAACACAACATATGGAAAACTAACTTTTTACATTAACCCATCAACTACATCAAAGATCACACTACGCCACCGCCGCAAGCCAATGAAGTTGTGGACGTCCGTTGCCATGTCCTATGTCTGAGCCACCATTGACCTCTCACACCAAATGGAGAGGAATCCTTCCAACATTCCTACATCACAACAAAGGCGTAGAAACATGTTTGAGCAGACACAGAAACCTTATAGCAGCAAAGAAAGGCATAGAAGCATATTTTAGTAAGCGCGAAAACCTTACAGCGGCAAGAAACACATATAAACATGTTTTAGCAGGCACAAAAATCTATTCATGAAACTAATGTCAGCTACATTAATGCAAAAATCATAGCGCTGGACGGGGAGTTAAAAAGGATGCAATGTATAGAAACGTGTTCCAACATTAAATAGAAATGTGCTTCAACAATGTATAGAATTGTGTTCCAACAATGTACATAATTGTGTAGAAGTGTATAGATAACTGCTCCACAATGTATAAAATTGTGTGCAAACAATGTATAAAATACATACCAAGTTATAGTTTAGCCATGTATAGAAAAGTATGCATGCAAGCATAATAACCAAAGGAAAGCAAAAAATAAATTTCTAGAACTAGTGGCTAGCATCCCCGCAAACAATCTAATTCACAATTTATATTCAAATCACATACACACGGATGAGCAAATGTACCTACAAAACCAACAACCCTGAGTGCATAAAAAAGGAAGCCAATATGAGCAGATCAGTTCATCGAACACCAGCATGCTTCTCCTAAAACTGCGCGCATAGAAACCTTGCTGCTAGATTACCGAACTAGCAGCTGCCTACCAGCATAAAAAAATGAGTAGTTAACTATCCAAATATTAAGATTTTAATTTCTATGAATCCAAAAAATAATTAGATTTCATTTTGGGAGACGTACCAAATCGTCCTAGTAAAAACATTTTTATTACACAAAAAACATAATTTGCGTGCATAAAAAATCCACCTATTCCTCTGTCCTACTGGACACCCCCACCCATCCTTGGTGCCGCGAACAACATCCCTGCAAGCCACATCTAAGCAATTGAATCAAAGCAACCAGGTAAATCAGAGAAAATTGAAGACGTGTAGTACCAACTATGATATGCATAGAAACTCACTAATGCTTACTACTAACTTCTAACCCTTGTGCAACGACGAAAAAATGTTGCAATAGACCCGATTTGGTTGCAAAAGGTAGATGTTGCAACCAAATCTCATTCGTTGCCAATTGTCACCAACTAGTAAATTTATATTTGTTACACGTTAGGCCCGAATGGTGCGCTAAAGGATATAAGGTTTATACTGGTTCGGGCTGAATGCCCCTATGTCCAATCTGCTGGTGCTCGTGTTATTAGCACCGAAAAGGGTTTGTAGAAAGGGGG